TCCTCTAGTTCCTAAAGGTTTCCTCCCCGCTCCCACTACCATGACTCGAATTCTATCTTGCAAGACTGGCTAGACCAGAGGAGGTACACTGGTACAGATAGGAACTGAAAATACAGGGAATCCAGGATGGATGAGCCCTATAGGACCAGTGGTGTGAGTGGCAAAACAGGGAGGGTAAAGGGAGAATGGGTAGGAAAGAGGGAACCGATTACATGGAACTGTGTGTGACCTCCTCCCTGGGGGACAGACAACCAGAGGGTGGATGAAGGGAGAAGTCGGACAGGGCAAGATATGACAAAATACCCATTTATAAACTATCAAGGGCTCATGTGGGAGGGGGGAGCGGGGAGGGAGGGGAAAAATGAGGACCTAATGTCGGGGGTTTAAATGGAGAGAAAATGTTTTGAGAAATGATGTACAAATACGCTTTACACAATTGATGTGTGTATGGATTGGGATAACAGTTGTATGAGCCCCTAATAAAATGTTTTAAAAAAATAAATAAATAAAACTTGATAATGGATCGGATATGGTAATCGCAGAGGATGGAGGAAAGAGAGATATTTATCAAGGAGGACAAGTAGAGTTCTGGCCTGAGTACTTACTTGGTAGATGGTAGCGGCCTGCCATGAACTAAGATAGGGAAAACTGCAGGTTGGGTCAGGGTGGCTAACCGGTGATTTTAGAGGGAATCGTTTGGCCATGTTCAGTTTCTGAATTTTGCTCTGTTCTATGTGTAGGCAGTGTGTAGGCAATTGGCTAACTTATTTGTAATGAGGGGTGAGGTCCAGGCTGCAGGTCTTTCAAAACAAGAGGCAGATGAGATCACCTGTTGACTAAGAAAAAATGTACCTGAGGCCAGAGGGCAGAGGGTTAGGTATTTATTTGCAATGCAGTGAGATAAGTGCTGAGAGCGTGAGATAAGGGAGGAACACAGAGCGAGTGATGAGAACAGTTGGTCCGGGAGCTTCATGGAGGAATGACATACAAGCGTCTCAAATCCATGAAAAACAAAGCAGTGACACTGCTATTAGTGAAGATGCTGACCCAGAGAGATTCTTAGCATACGGTATCCTGTCTTATACCTGAGCCACTCACTGTAAGTTGTTGTTGTAGCTGCTGGGTGCCACTGAGGCAGTTCTGACTCATAGCGACCCTATGTTCAAAAGGGCGAAAACGCTGCCTGGTCCTGCGTCATCCTCACAATTGTTCTCATGTTTGAGCCCTTTTTTTAAAAAAAGTAAAATTATGCATCTTATTCATTCATTCCATAAGCAGAGAATTGCTCTATTGTACAAAAATCACAACGTGTTACAAAATAAGAAAAAGTACAAGTTGCATGACTTAATAAATAGGACTAAAGTAGAGGTTGGTAACAATTTTTGACCCAGCAAACCATACAAGCTCTGTTTACAGGCATTTGTACATAATGCAGGGCAATCTTATTTTGCCTTTTTGGAGAATATGAAGGGAGTATCCTCCTGGTATACAATCACTGCCAAATGTTGGAGGCATTTTTTGACTTTTTTTTTTCCCCCTCAAGATCTTGGCTGAATCCAAGTAATTATATAAAGCAGGAGCCTTATGTAGTCACAACGTTTCAGTCCATGTTAAAATCCTCTTGTAATAAAATGATGGATATAAATTAAACAAAAAACAATTGAGAGCACCAGGCCACCTACTACAAACATGGTGCAAAACCAAACCCAACCCACTGACCTCAGTGGGTTGTTGGAGCCCATTGTTGTAGCTACTACAGTATTTCAATCCAATCCACTTTGTGGAGGGCCCTTTTTCCACTACCCCTCTACTTTCCCAACAATGATGTCCTTCTCCAGGGACTGGTCTTCTGAAAACATGTCCAAAGGATGTGAGATGAAGTCTTGTCATCCTTGCCTCTAAGGAGCATTCTGGCCATACTTCTTACAAAACAAATTTGTTTGTTCTTTTGGCAGTCCATGGTACTTTCAAAATTCTCTGCCAGCACAATTTCAATACATCGATTCTTCTTTAGTCTTCATTATTCAATGTCCAACTTTTACATGCATATGAGGTAATTTAAATAGCACAAAACCCATTGCCATTGAGTTGAAACGGACTCACTGTGGGGTACCAGCTCCCACAATCAAATGGATCCAAGGGTGGATGTTTAACTGAGGGGTAAAATTAAAGAGACATCAGACAAGATAAGGCATGCAATTGCTCACCTCCAGATGGCCATGATCTCAGCAGCAAAATCTGAGCAGAGAGAGCGAATGAATATATTTCTAATCATGGCTTATATACACTTAGGGGATGTGCAAGCCCCCCTAATTACATCGTAACAGGAAGGGGTTGTATAATAGGCATACGGGCAACAAGAGGGGGATGAGCTAGAGGTGTACACACAGAAGGAAGGGGCGGCACTGGGGGGTATGCATGTGATAAGATAGGCGGACTCTAGATTCAAGATGGCAGCCTAACCATAGTCCTTCTTGAGTTGGCTTGACCTTAGTCTTTGGGCTCTCCTTCAGGGGAATAATCCATTATCCTTATCAGAAAGGAGTGGGCTCTACTTAAGGTGGGACAGACTATCAGGTCTGATTGCTGTAGATGGCTGATAACCCTCAGGGGGAAACCTTTAAGCAGTTAACCTCCAAATGTATGGTCATTGGCCACGTGTTAGCAAGCAGCATCTTAGATTTGGCATATAATATGGGGGGACAACCTGGGGAATAACCTTTCTGTTTCCCACAACTTACCAATGCTATTATAGGGTTTCAGCAACTTTTTTCAACAATTTTATTGGCATATAATTCACATCACACAATAGTTCAATCATATCAAAGAGTTATACAATGATCACCACAATCAGTTTTAGAACTTTTTCTTCATCCTTGTACTCAGTGTTATTAGCTCATCATTTCCCCCCAACATCCCTTGCCATACCCTCCAGGGCTCTAAATCTTGGTAGTGCAGATAGCCTCATGTTTCTCCCATGGAGTGGCTCCTGCGTTCAAACTGCTGACCATGCAGTTAGCAGCCCAACTCAACCCATTATACCAACAGGGTGCCAAAATACCAGAAGGAATCTTAGCACAAGGCAAAATTGCCAGGCATCTAAAGTATAGCAGTTAGAGTCATTCTGCTTCAGTTTAAATGCTTCCAATTTGATCGACTCGAGCATATTACTTGACATCTCTGTCCTTAAGTTTTGTCATCAATAAATGGGCACAGTTAACCTCATATAGTGTACTTACTATGTTCCTGGCACTATTATTTTGTATATTTTATTCAACACTCTTCCAATAATTAATGACATGAGTACTATTATTATCCTTTATTTTACTGATATAGAAACAAGAACTAAATCCACTCATTCCATATACAGCTATGGTGTGCCTCTTGTGTGCCAAGCATGTTTCTTAGATGCTAGGGATACGTTAATTAACAAAACAGACAAAATCTTGTCTGTGTACAGTTCCCAGTGGTTTAGTTGGACTTTAATCTGAAGGTCAAAGCCACCAGCCGATTTCAACTCCTGTAAAGAGTTACAGTCTCGGAAACACAAAGGGGCAGCTCTAACCTGTCCTATAGAGTAGCTATGAGTGGCCATCAACTCTATGGCATTGAGGGCTTTTTTGTTTGTTTGGTCCAGTTTCAATCTGAGGTTTAGAGACGCAAACTGGCTAAAACCATAAGCATAATAACCATGTACATTTCATAATGATAAATCCAATTCAAACACATGGCCAACAAATAAATTCTAATTCATAGGCGCCCTATAGATTTCTAAAGCTGTAATCTTTCTCCCACACACAGCAGCTAGTGGGTAAGAACCAGCAGCCTTTTTGGTTAGCAGCCAAGCCCTTCACCACCTGTAATTCTCAAAACCCAAACCCAAACTTACTGCCTTCTAGTTGATTTTGACTCAGTGACCCCATAGGACCTAGTAGCACGCCCCTGTGGGTTTCAGAGACTGTATCTTTATAGAAGTTGCAAGCCTCGCCTTTCTCCCAGTCGAATTGTTGTTAGGTGCAGTGGAATCGGTTCTGACTCAGCGACCCCGTGTTCAACAGAATGAAATATTCCCTGGTCCTGTGCCACCCTCAAAATTCTTCGTTCTTATGGTATTAAACAAGTGCACACTCCGGAATCAACAAATAAATAAAGGATAACGTAGACTGAGGTTTGGATTTTAAATAGGGTGGCCAGGACACACCTCACTGGGGTGATGTTTGAACACAGATTAGAAGTAGGCGACCGATCCAGATCTCTTCGAAGTGGCAGCAGCAACAGCAGGGGTCCGCCCTCCGGCCGGCGCGCCCTTGTCGTCCTTCCTGAGAAGTGGGAGAAAGGAGGTGCGGTGCAAGGTAAGTCAATGGTAAAAACTCTTCTACTCCGGGCCAAATGGGGAATCGCAAGGGGCTGGCATAACTTGAGCACCGATAGATCCTTTTGGTTTGGCCCCAATTCCGTTATTAAAGAAGACAAAACGTGAACTCCCGGCAGCCTGCACAGTAGGGTGCCATCGCAGGATTACAGCAGCAGTCAACCTCACGGAGCCTCCGGCACACAGCAAGCGCCCTTTATGGTGGCTATCTGGACCCTCTCACTTAAACTCCACACCACGCTAACGCCTTGCCGTTCTCCAGCTCCCGGGCTCTGCATGCACTCCGTGCGGCTGTCACGTAGCGCAAACCCCTCTGGGGATTCGGCGCCCGGGCGGGGTCTGGGCGCAGGCGGGACGACGGCCGGTTGGGCGAAAGGCCCGCCTGCCGACGCGCCAGGGAAGCCCAGAGGCTGAGCGCGCCCGCGCGGTCGTCCGTGTGCGCATGCGTACGCCCGATCCTGACCGCCGACATTCCGCAGCCGCATTGCGCTCCGCCCCCGATTCCGGGGAGGCGTCCGACGCCGCGCCTGCGCACAGCCTCGCCGCACCCTGCGCCTGCGCGCTCCGCCAGCCCGGCCCCAGCCTTAGGTTTTCCTGGAGGGGGAGGCGTGCGTCTCGGCGAGTCACGATGATGGCGGCCGCCATCCAGGGGTGAGCTAGCGGATTGCCTGCTGGTCGCTCAGAGCCCTTTGCGTCTCTCGCAGACGCTGCGGCCGGCGTGGGACGCAGCCCGAGCTCGCGCGGCAGGCCGCAGTCGCCGAGGCAGCGGCGCGGCCCGGCTGGGGAAGAAGCCGCCCCGTGGGGCGAATGTGACAAGCCCCCACCCCCACCGCCTCCCTCCCGAGTGCGCGAGGAGCGCCGGCGACCCCGGGGCCCGGCCAGGCCACAGACCCCGCCCAGCGGCCAGCACCCGGAGCGGCAGTGGAGCTGCGCGGTGGCACCATGCAGGTCACCCTGAAGACCCTCCAGCAGCAGACCTTCAAGATCGACATCGACCCCGAGGAGACGGTACGAGCGCAGGGGAGCGCGGGCCGCGGGCGGGCGCGCAGGGCCCGGCCCGGGCGGCGCGGCCGCACCCGCGCGCGGGACGCTCCCAGAGTCCCCAGCTAGGCCCGGGAGGGCGCCCCGACTGCCGGCGCCAAGTGCGAGCCGCGAGCTTGCGTGCGGCCGGGCCCCGGGCGCGTGCGGCGCCCCGGAGCCCTCGGAGTGTGGCCTGGGCATTGTGCGGTAGAAGGGGGAGCGGTGGCCCGACGCCCAGGGCTTGGTGGCAGATGGCGTGGAGCACGCTCGCGGGGCACGGGAGGCCTGGGCCTGCAACTCGTGGTCGTGGGCCGGGGGGAGGGGAGCCGGGGCGGGCTTTCTGGCGTAGGTTTCCAGGTGGGGGAGGGAGATGAGGTGGCTGCTCTTGGGTGGACCTAATTAGGCGCCTAAGGTCTCGGGGGTGGTAACCGGAGATGGCGACCCTTAGAGAGAGCGAGAGAGAGAAAAGTAGCGCGTTTGGTCTGCCGCAGTAACCGTTGGTGAGAAGTGGTGAAAATGAGCCCTTTGCCTCTTTTCCCTCCAGAATGCTTAGCCCTTTATTTGCATAGATCATGAAGCCCTCCACGCTACCCAGCCTACGGAGGTGGCACGGTCAGGCGTCTTTGATGGCGAAGAGTTCGTCTAAGCCTGGCCGAAACTCCACGCCAGATGGCCTGGGTCCTCTGTTTCCGTGGTCCCGAGTCACGTCGGACCCTTGCACATTCCACCAAACTTAAGCTTCCTCTCCCCTGAGTAGTAGCATTTCAGGGGAAATTTACCAAAATCCTTTCATCTTTCTCCCCCTGCAGTTACACATTACCAAACAACACAAGATAAATTCTCGTGTTGATTTTTGTATCTGCTTGCAAAAAGAGAGACTAAGTTGAAGTCAGTTCAGTTTTATCCCAAGAATCTAAAACTGGCATGCGTGTAAATTTACTGCTTGTGTTCTGGATACACCACTAAGGTTGTCATACTAAGCTTAAACCAGCAACTTGCTGCCCATCTGTACATTTTTAAAGTTGATTATATTTTTGGTGGAGATCTGGGGCCATGGTGTTTTATTAGAGCCGAATTCCACTTGTGGCTCTGTAACAGTATGAATCCCTTGTGTGATGGGGCACAGCTCGGGTTGCTGAGAGGTAAGGACTACATGGTACTAGTTGGTGCTCAATAAATGGAATGAGTGGTAAGGATAATGGGTCAAGATCCAGGGATAGGCTTTACCCTCCAGTTTGATGAAGTTTCTCACTTGTTTAAGAAACAATTTCCAGCCTTTTTGGAATTGGCAACATGATTTTGATTGCGAGACATTTCATTATAGTTAAAAGCTTATAGTGAGATATATTCTTAATAAAAAGATAGGGGAGATATCAATTATCTATGGGAAAATTCTATGTCCATAGAAATAATTGCTTGGTTTAACGTTACTAATAGAATTAAATTCTTCCCTCATACGTCAACACTACTTAGTGTAAGTTGAAAGGTAAAAGTTAAAATGTTTTAGATACAGCTTTAGTTACTACCTCACATTACTTAGAAGAAATGTTTGACTTTGGTTCTTTTTATTAATATAAAAGGGGCTATAAAAAGTTTGTGGGAAAATGCAGTATCTTTTACTTACACTTTTCCTTGAATTTTTTGAAGCCTCCTTGTCTATGTTGGGGCTACAGTCACCTTATCAGAATTTGTGTAATACACAGGACTAATGGCAGAATTATTAAAGCATCAAAAAAGTTGTTTTGTTTTACTTTTGGCAAATTTATTGTAAAGTGACTTCCCGTAGCTCCAGTAAAGTAATATGTTCTATAGGATTTGTATAGTTTTTAAGGTACTTTATAACACTATTATCTTAGACCTAAAATTCCATTTGCATAGATTCTTAATTCTGTAACTGTCTGCCAGTTTATTTCAAAGGGAATGTATTAAGTTGTATGGATTTGAAAACCAACTTCTCCGTTTATTTTCATGAAGTCTATTCTGGAGGATGAGCTCTTCCGCATTTTGTGTGGATTTATCTTCATAAATCTGGAGTAAGATTGAAACATTGAGTCCATGCTGAATGGAACATTAAAGAGCCCTAGGGGTGCTGTGAGGTAAGCATTGGGCTGCTGACATTTAGGTCTGGTTCAAAACCTACTGGCAGTTCTCAGGGAGAAAAATGAAACAGCCCGCGCCTGTGAGACTCATAGGCTCAGAAACCCTTTTTGGGGCCTTCTAAGTCCAAATTGATGTCAGTGAGTTGGTTACAGTGACACAGTGCTTTATATTTTATTGACTTTGTAAGTTTCAGATTTTTTTTCAAGGTAGAGCTATTTAGTTCACCCTTACTGATTTCTTTTTAATTTGAATTCTCTTTTGAGCAGAGCATTGGAGTTGAATTGTGGTAAGGAAAAGAAACAGTTCAAATTATATCGATATAGGGCCACTCTTCTCATTTACTCTGAGGACCAGGCACCCATGGATATTAAAAACAGGACCTTAGTGAAAACCTACAGCGTATCCAAGGAGCCCTGAGCATTGGGCTGCTAACTGAAAGTTGATGGTTCAAACCCACAAGTCCTGCTAGCTGCTCCACAGAAGATGAGCCTATCTGTTCTTGTAAAGATTTACATCCACTGATGGCAGGGGTTTTTTTTTTTTTTTTAAAGAAATCACCTCTCAGAGGACCTGATTTTGGCTTCTGAGACTATTTTGGCTAATTTCTTTGATTTCAACATATACCTAGATGTGACTAAGGAAATGAAGTGGCTTAAAATAGCTAGTATTGAAATTCTAAACCATTTGAGGTAAAACCATGTAAGAACGATTGAAGGATGAGGAGTGATTGATTTGTTGCACAAGTTTGATGCCAAATGAGCATTGACTGGCACTGGTGATGGAGTGCAAGGGCATTTAGGACATGACCTGTGCCTTCTTGGAGTTTTATTGACCAGTAAGCGGTCCAGTCTTTGTCCTGTGGAGTGGCTGGTGGTTTTGAACTGCAGACCTTGCAGTTAGCATCTCAGCCACTATACCACCAGCATGGGGGTACAGAAGGCAGAAAAGGCAAAAGGATTTTTTTTTTCAAGTTGGGATGTAGTACATATGTCATTCCATCTTTTAATCCCGTCATATAGAATTGTTCAATTGCTACCACAGTCAGTTTCTAATCAATCTTTTTCTACATGGACACCTTGACATTGTCTCCCTTTTACCCCCTCCCCCCCCCCCCCCCCAACAAATCCCCTATTCTATTTGCTGTCCCTACAGGTTCATCAATCCTGGGGTTCAAAAGATTTGTTGTTAAGGTGTTTTTATTTGCTTTAATTTGAATGATAAAACTCAGCCCTTTTTTTTAAAAAAATGGCATAACTTTCTTACATGTACTAATCATTTTGTATCATTTCACTACATTGTTAGCATTTGTTGCCTTTACTACATTTCATATTTTAATATTTTTCAATAGTGTATCCTAATATTTCGACAATATGGAAAAAATGAGAAGGTAGTGTATGGAGAGAGGATGTTAAAGAGAATATTCTTAAATGTGTGTTGCATTTAAATAGGTGAATTACTATTGAAATCTACTGTCGTCAAGTTGATTGGTTCCTTCTCCTAATGGCCCTATAGGACAAACTAGAACTGCCCCATATGGTTCCATGGCTGTAATCTTTACAGAAGCAGTTTACGATAACACTCTCTGTAATGGCTGGGAAATTTTAACCGCTGACCTTTCAACTCTCAGGCTCCTTATACTGTAAAAAATAGAACTTAGCCTATAAAAGAAAGCATTTTGAGATACCTGACTGACTGCTAAGGAACCCTAGTACGCTTTCGGGTAAGTGTTGGACTATTAACCACAGCAGTGGCCGTTCAGACCTACCAGTCGTTTTCGTGTACCTGCTCTGGTAAAGTTCCACAACTTCAGGACCCCTATTTAAGGTTGCCATGATTCAGAAGGGACTCAGTGGCAGTGGATTCGATTTTAATAGACCACTACTCATAAAATTCTGCACGATTCTCAAGTTTGATTGGTGTGAAGAAAATGGAATACATGGGATTTTTAAACTGCAATCCAAAGTCTCTACGTTTTTTGTGTGTCTTGCTTTTGCTTAAAAAACTCAACTGCTACCAAATTGATTCTGACTCATTGTGATCCTTCAGGGCAGGGTAGAACGGCCCATGTGGCTAAGGGCATCTTAAATTAAGGACAGGCTAACTCAATACAAATACATTGAGATAATTGCAATACAAGAATACGATGCAGTATTAAATTCATTCATAGAATACTGTCCCTAACCCAGATCTCACTCGGCTGAAAAACAAGACAGAGAGCAGCTGAAAGTGAAAGGGGAAAGCTTTACTTTGCTTGATCAGGGCATTAGGATTATTGACATGGACTGCCTTGTAGGATCACTCACTTTGAAGTGTCTTTCCAGTTGGTCTGGTGGTGTGAGGCTAGAAGTCCAAATTCAGGTTCCTGGCTCTAGAGCAGCAGTTCTCAACCTGTGGGTCACCACTCCTTTGGTGATCGAACAACCCTTTCACAGGGGTTTCCT